GGTCTAGACGGCCAGCGCGGCCCCGCACTCGTGGCCGCTTGTCCTTGAGCTGATATCTTCGGGTCCTGACTTGCCCTGAACAACGCAACTACGCGATACTTCGGTGACACAGCGCAGCAACGTATTACACGCGCGTGTAGGCCTCCCTACAAGTGCAAGAGGAGTTCTTCATGTCCGGGAGCGGTTACTTACCCCGCCGACCGCGGGGGCTGCCGCGGCGGTACAATAGTAAGGCAAACAAACGTGCCGTAAGAGACGGAGAGATGACACCGACTTCCACAACCAAGCGGGTGCGGAAAGTGTCCGATACACGTGCACGGAAAGCCTTCCTCGACAGGATGGTGTCTCGAAAAACCACAATTTTTGTTGTCGACACAAGCTTTTGGTTATTTTGGGGCGGGCGATCGAGCTTTGAAAGATCGGTCTTGCGGGGGGGGAGGCTGCCATATCTCCGCGCTTTCGTAACGGCTTCTGCTTGCTTTCGCGGGCGTGGACAACCACTCGTTTCATGACACAATTCAACACCAAATGCTGCTGTGCACGGGTTTTGGCGTCTCCATGCAGCACAAGGGAGCGAGGCGTGTTCAACGGCGGCAGGTTGGTAGGCAAAGCATCTGCTTACCTTGGCGGGCGTGGACACGAAGGTCCTGCACAGGCGGGAGAGGACGCGGCAGCTGCACGACAGCTCCCTCGAAACGCCTTCGTCGGAAAACCCGGGCCAAGGGGGCGGTCCCGTCCAGCCCTGCCAACCTGTCATGCGGAGTTGTTGCTGGGGTCGTCGTTGCCGTTGTGGAAGTGGAGTTTCTTGCTGTTGTTATCTTCGATGCAAACAAAGTTCCGATCTCTTCCACACAGCCGTGCTTCACCTGTCCGTACTGATCTACCACTTGACGCCGTCGATTCGTGGGAACAAAAAAAAAAAAAATGTGTTACTCGATTGTGTTCGCCGTCGTAAGCAGGCGGGGTGACCCGTGGTGTTCACTCTTTGCATTTTTTGTCAAAAATGTCGAGACTGCGGCGGCGGCGGCGGCGGCGACGGCGGCGATTTCGACGCTCGAAGCTGAATCTAGAGACATCCATCCTTTCTCCTTCCCCTCTCTGCCTCGGCAAGGTTTTGCGTAGGCATGACCCATAGCGAGGGGGGGGGTCTTTCTAGCGAGCAGGGCTAGACTCACCCTCAGGGGACCGATATCTTCTTGCTGCGGCGCACCCGCCGCGAGGCGTGCGTAGTGGTGGAGTTGGGTCGGCACTGGTGCGTAAGGTACAAAGGTGCAGATGCGCGGGCCTCATGGCCGTCGGTGTAGACAGCAATGTCCATCTCAGTTCTGTGCGCGGAGGCAGACGTCATCAGAAAGGTGGACGGGCACTATGTACACGGCCCTAGGTTTGCTGGAGGGCGCTGTACTGTCTCAGTACCCTGGCTTCGCCATCAAAGGGGAGGAGGGGACAGGTGGTGGTGACGAGCTGAGTGGGCTGGTTGACCCTTCGGCGCGAGAATTTTCNAGGTGCAGATGCGCGGGCCTCATGGCCGTCGGTGTAGACAGCAATGTCCATCTCAGTTCTGTGCGCGGAGGCAGACGTCATCAGAAAGGTGGACGGGCACTATGTACACGGCCCTAGGTTTGCTGGAGGGCGCTGTACTGTCTCAGTACCCTGGCTTCGCCATCAAAGGGGAGGAGGGGACAGGTGGTGGTGACGAGCTGAGTGGGCTGGTTGACCCTTCGGCGCGAGAATTTTCACGCCAAAAACCCGAAGTGCAACGAGGGAGAAAGCGAGGAACCGCCTGGAAACGACGGCAAACGTGTACAGACGGAGCGGGTCGAGTTGGGGAGTGCTAGGACTGGCCGCAGCGACACCGGAGCAGCGGCGCCGGAGCAGCTGCACCGGAGATTCAAATATTTCCCGCTTTTTTCCTGAACATCGGTGTTGGGTGTGTGTGATGACGTCACTGGTTTTGTAGAGAGACGCGGCAGAGATGGCGCGGATACCCCGGGTGCCTTGTTGTGTACCTGCATCGTGGAAGACCCCTTCAATGTGGAACGATTCCTAGTCAGTGTCGATGTTTACACTGCTGTGCCTAACACCGATGATCTGGATGATTCGGATGATTGTCAATTGCAATGATGGCTTTGAGTGGGTGTTCTTCTTCATTGTATGTCCACGGACTCATTCTGACAGCACTTCAGACAGCAGCTGCATGCCCCGAGCTTGTGTACCATGCACCATGGTGTTATTATTGTGCAGACAGCACTTCAGACAGCAGTACGCTGTAGTCGACAAACATTCATTTTGGTTAAATGCGAGACAAGGAGGGTGATGCTGCTGCTGTAGTCGAATTGTAGTGTGTGGGCGTGTAGTTCAGTTGTGAGCACGCAAACGTGCTGCAGGGATTGCAGGTGTACCTCCCCGGGCTTGCGTACCCTTTACTTGCTAATAGTGTGTGTGTTCTTCAGATCTTCTGATGGCTCTAGCATTTTTGTGACCACGGACCGAGTCTTTGCTAGATTTTGGGATTAGCAACTGACACGGGTTTCATTTGAAGACAACAACAGCAGCAACAACACTGCGTTGGGATTGGATTCAAACGGGTTGCGGGGGAAGTGCCGGGAAAGAAAACGGGGGTCCGTGGACAGGATCGAAGAGGGCGGGGGGGTACTGCTAGTTGGCAGTAGTAAAAAAAACGAAAGAAAGCGTGTACCGTATAATACACTGGACATGAAAGAGCAAAGCACGGCACTGTAGTAGCACTCGACGCTTGGGCCTTTGGTGACCTACAGTCTGTTTCGGCGTTTGTTCGTGGCCCAGACTGGAGACCTTCGAGAAGCAACAAACGAGAGCGGGCACTTAACGTTTTGGTGTTGACCGCTAGCGGAACACGCGACGACCATCCCCATCCAGATGGGGGTAACAATGGGGGGGAGAGGGCGGTCTTCGTAGGGGGGGGGGGGATACTCATAGTCGTGCATGCCGTAGTCGTTTGACCATTGAACTTGCATCCCTACAAAGACGGGACGAAGAACGCCGGGTTCTTCTCACCGTACAAGGCTCTCACGTCACCAAGCGCGTAGCACCGTGGGGTGGGTCTTCGTGGGGGGGGCACCAATGGAGGTGGGGCATCAGCAGGGAGGGACGGGAAGACTCCTCTCACTGAAAGGCTGAGAAGGTAGGCCAAGAAATTACATGTACAAATACTTTCCTTGTCCCGGAGTGGAGCGATGGGAGAATGCTGTTCTGCTGCTTCCTGTTTGCCGTTCATTTACCTGCAAGGGCGGCCGAAAACGGTCCTAGGACCGGCGCCACCAGCTCCGAGTACGCTCGGGATCTCCCCTCGAGGTCGTTCACCTAGGGCATGCATCGCGCATTGTGTGAGGCAGCGGAGGAAGGCCAAACGTGAAACGCCTCCAAGAACAACAGCGACAACACTACTACACAACACAGTAACCAACAACAAGTGCAGCAACGACAACAATAACAACCAACAACAACAACAGCAACAACAGCAACAACAATGCCAACAACAACAATCACCAATCACCAATCACCAATCACCAACAATCAAAAACAAATAGTACCAACAACAAGGCAGCAGCGGCAGCACCGCCAGAAAAACCAACGAGAGCAAGCAACGGCAGCATGTCAACAACGCTAGCACGGAACAGCCAAATCGTCGTTCATCGTGTAGAGCTAGCTCGTCCGACGCACACACACACACACACACACACACACACACACACACACCCTCACGGGGTCCCAGTTCATGGTAGATAGAAGTGTTTTGTGTTTTCAACCGCACTAAGACTGACGTCTTTTCATTGGTCAGCCGGTTAGCGCGGTCGATGCTAATAATAAAAAAACACACACACACACACACACACACAACGCGCAATGCCAAAACTTGCACCGCGTCCGCTCTTGTCTCCCCACTCTCCCCTACCTGCTGGCTGTTGTATGTGCACCGACAAACCTATGTACCGACCAACCTACGGCATGCACCTTTCCCATGTCGCCGTGGAGGAGCCGGGGAGGCATGAGGAAGGCCGACAGGCTGGAGTACAGCAGCACGCGCGCGGCCACCGGCAGCGTAGCCGCCACCTGCTCTCGAAAACCACACATACACAGGGACACCAACAATGAGAAGGCAAAGAATGCACGAGGTTTTCAAGCCGCAAGGCGGGGGGGGGGTCTCGAAGTCATTAGCGATCGTAGCTTACAGCGTAGACCCTCAACCTCTATCACCGGGGGGACGGCGAACAGGAGGCACATGGAAGGTGGGGGTGGGCGCTACTCATGCTTTGCATATCTTAGCGGTTAGACCGTTGACCACGCGTTCCTGGAGAGGACGGAGAATTGCTACCACAGGACCGATCACCGATGGCCAATCGTTCCTTCTACTCTTTGCCAAAGGTGGCTCAAAACATTTTCCCTACCCTATCTATCCTACCGAAGAGGGCGGGGGGGAGGGGGGCAAAACCTACCTGGCTGGATTGCTTGAGCAAAGTGGCGACGGCCTGGCTCGCCTCCAGCGATGACGGGGGCAGCACGGTGTTCAACGAGAGCAGCAGCCTTCCCGCCGACACGGGGACGACCTCCCTGCCGTCCCCGTCCCCCTCGCTGGCGCTCTCCCAGCAGCTCCGTACCAGGGCAACGACGGCCTCCGCTATAGCCCTGGGCTCCAACCGTTCCCACAACACATCGAGACGATCATACACCAAGTCTGACACTAACTGTATACAGAGTCTGACACAAACTGAATGTGTATTATAGTTGTAGTACATTACAATGTGTTGTGTCGTTGTTGCTTTCATCGTAACAATGGGGTGGATTCACAAAACTTTCCTTCTTTGTTTTTTTTTTGTTTGGCAAATTCAATGCTCCATTCATGTTAAAAGTACTACTCCCCATTCCCTCTCGCGCGCCATGCATGTCAACATGAATTGAGTCATACATGATTGTACGTACGTGGCGTTGCTGTCCCCGTCGCCTCCTGCCGCTAGGCCAGGCAGAAGCCCTCCGACAGCGCTCAAGGCGGCCGCCTGCAGAAACAACAGAAAAAACAGTACTGAAATCCAGGAGGTGAATGACTGCTCAAAAAAAGGGGACCAATAACACAAACACTAAATTTCGGAGGAAATAGTTGACCAATCATAGGCAACACCAGTACATGCCACACGAGGTGTTCGACAACTCAAAAGTAGACCAATCAGAAACGCAACAAATTTACAGTACATAGGCGGTGGACGCAAAATAAAAAAAAGTAACCAATCATCGGGAAGCAAAACGTTCTCTACGAAAAAAATTCATAAACAACACTGTTCTGTGGCAAGCATTTTGGCGGGACATCAAAACCGGGGGAAACGAAAACCAAAAAAAAACATGTTGAGTGTAATGTATCTATCACGTTCTACGTATGCATAAACCTTCGCTGTTTCATGTGAAATCACCGAACACAGCACTGGTCGTAGTTTCAAGGGCACTAAGTCGAGGATATTGATAAGTCCGCCCTTACATACAGGCAATTAACTGTCTTGAGAACGCGGGGCTAGCAATATAGTTCATCCACTACAAAAGGGGTGAACGAGGAAAAAAAAAAATCGCGGAACACTGGAATCGCACACACAGCAGCCAACGACATACCTGGTGTACCACTACAAGACGAGTGCGAAGCACGAAGAGTGAAAGAGTATAGTGAAATAAGCCTCGTTATTAAGAAGAAACGGCTCCACGAAACGCGGAAGTAAGTATTTCCGCTTCAGAACAACAACAATAACAGCAACAAAAAATTAGCGACAACTCTTTTCTTTGTTGCTACGGGTAGCAAAAGAATACCAGAAAAGCGAGGGGCAGCTCATTGCTACGGTTAGCAAAAAACACCACAAGAACGAGTGACAACCCCATGTTCTTTGCGGCGGGCAGCAAATAAATCCCGGAAAAAACGGTGACAAACCCTGCGTTTCGTTGTTCCAAGGTTAGCAAAACCATATTCATAATTGCTACGGTTAGAAAAATCCTAACAAAAGCGTGGCGTGAGCGAGAGCGCAAGAACGAACCTGCAGGGCGGCAAACTCCGGGCCTCGAACGTGAAGCCCCGCCGAAGCCATCGTCCCGGCGGCTCGAACAACGGCTTCGCCCGCCCTCATCAGCAGCCCTCTACCGTCGCCGCCGTCGCCGCCGTTAGCGGCGGTGGCGGCGGCGGCGGCGGCGGTAGTTGCCGGCATGAGAGCGCAGAGAGTGGTGGCATCGGTGGCAAGGCGACGGGCTTGTTGTTGCTGCTGCGAGTTTGACGCTGTCGTTTGTTGTTGGCGCGCGTAAGAAGCGGGGAGGGGCGGGGAGGACTAAGAGGTTTGAGGGGGAAAGGTTTGTGACAGGTGTGTTGAACAGGTGCAGATAGCAGGGGTCCAAGGTAGTCAAGGCTAGACAATAACGGCCAACAAACAGCAACAGCTGCACCTACCCCAGCTAACCGCTATCAGCACAGCAAACCATCACCACTACAAACACGACAGACCAACACTAGACTACAGCAGTACAAATGACAACAGCAGCAAAAACAACAGTTCCCGTTTTCACAATCACCATGTACCGCCAACAACAACACGGCCACTTACTGCATCACTGCATCAACGCAAACATCACGACAACACTTCCAACTCCACCACCACCACCACCACTCAATCTTGCTAAAGACGATATTAACTGTCGCCAGAACCACAAAACACAAGAAGAAGAACAAGAACAAGAACAAGAAGAACAAGAACAAGAACAAGAAGAACAAGAACAAGAACAAGAACAAGAACAAGAACAAGAACAAGAACAAGAAGAACAAGAACAACAAGAACAACAAGAACAACAAGAAGAAGAACAAGAAGAACAAGGACAAGAATAAGAACACGAAGAAGAACCAAGAAGAAGTAGAAGTAGAACAAGAACAAGAACAAGAACAAGAACAAGAACAGGAAGAAGAACAAGAAGAACAAGAACAAGAACAACAACAACAAGCACAACAACAACAACAACAACAACAACAACAACAACAACAACAACAACAACAACAACAACAACAAGCACCGCTGTTGGGCAAAGACGACGAAACACTCCACAGCGACCACCACCTTCAACAAACAACCAAATACATCAGTCTAGTCTAGTCTAGTCTAGTCTAGTCTAGTCTAGTCTAGTCTAGTCTAGTCTAGTCTAGTCTAGTC